AACCAAAATTGCACATGAATGAATTGGAGTACTGGCTACCAACCGACCCGTCAGAGTTTTATTTGCCAAATTTTTTTTGCTAAATCTCAGAATTTCCTGCTACCCAAAAAGCATCCTTCGCAAACTTCCTGGTAGCCTTTTGTGACCCGACAGGATGAGTCAATGAATAGCATTATAAACAACACTTTTCTTGCATTGAAATATTACCATGCTCTCCCTAGAAGAACAAAGGTTATTTGAGAAAGCAGTGGTGACTAGGAAAATCAAATATTACAAAATTAGTAAGTTTTAAAAAATAGATTAAAATACACATATTTTATTCTAACATTTTAATTCTAATTACGTGCCGTCTAAGCAATTAATCTTAAGAAAAAAAGGGCTACATTAGCTAACTGGGTTATATTAGAATGATTTTTTCAGCAACCTTAAAATTATCTCCTTCATACTAATATCTTTTTTATTTTGAAATTATCTTTGTAATTTCATTTCTGATTATGAAACTGGCACATATTTATCGTATAGAGAATATAGGAGATCACAGAGGAGAAAATACTCATGATTTTACGGTCCAGAGATTTAAGTGTATTAGTTGAGTATCCCTAATCTGAAAATCTGAATCAAAAATGCTTCAAAATCTGAAACTTCTTGAGTGCCAATATGATGCCATAAGTGGAAGATTCAATGCACACAAACTTTGTTACATGCAAAAAATTATTTAAAATATTGCATAAGATTAGCTTCAGGCTGTGGGTATAAGGCATATATAAATTTTTTTTTTATAAAAGCCGGCATAATGCACTTTTATTGCAATCATAACACTTGAAACTCATATACGGTGCTGGGGGGAGGGGGCGGCAATGATTCCTCTCACCAAATCACTATACAGGACAGCAAAGGGGTGAGAAGGGGCTGAGGGAGGAAAAGCCAGGAAATTTTGAGATCAGCAGAGGGAGCCAAGCATCAATAAACAGGAGATGCTAAAGTTACAATGACCAGCATCATTTTCTTAAGAGAATATTCAAGGATTTGTCATGATGGCTGGGCTTTCATTGGGCGTTAAGTCTACAAACAACATCTTCAATTTAAACAGTCATTTAAAGTTGTCAAGATTTAGGAAGAGGTGGAGCTTGGAAAGTTATCAGATTACAAAATTCCTGAAAATCCATTAGAAAATCCACAGGATGGGAAAAAAATAAATAAATAAGCCAGGCCACAAAGAAGGCTTCAGAGGTCCCTACTGGCTTAGGGAGAGATAGATACCTGTAGTGTCCAACATCACAGTGAAAATGACCTGCTTTCAAAGGCAGAGGGTTTAAGGAGAGGGAGGGACTGGTGGAGGCAAAGGCTCTCCCCGTCCCCATCTCAGTTTTAGGTAGGGCTTTTATTTTAACCCAAGGACATCTCTCAACTTGGAGAATAATTCAGCCCTCAATAGCACCTCAAATCTGCTATGGCTTTGCAGCGCAGCAGCAAGAATGTTCACTATATAATATATAAAAATTTCATCCAAAAATTAAAATAAAATATTCTTGCAACCTCCTCCAACACCAATTCCTATTGTAAAGTTAACCTATCACTTGTACTGTTAATACTTGATCATGTACTTCATTGGAAACCTAGACCCAAAAGACTGAAACTGAATCTTCACCCCAAAATGAAAACAAAATAAAATGAATAACTTGAGGTTTATGGCATATGGTTTAGGTAAACACATATACGAGGATAAAGGGGAAGAGGAAATGGAGATGTTGGAAGCAAAGCTGAGTGACAGAACACATTCAGTCAGGGCAGATGTCTATACAGAGTGTAGTGGAACACCAGGAAAAGCTCCTTATGGATTCATGTGTACACATCTAGGGGCACCAGGATCCCTCCATGGCAGACCCAAGGACAGGAAGCTAAGGGAGGAGTCCATTCCTGTCATTCCAGTTTTAGAAGCTCCACATCAATGACAAGAGTGGCATGTGGTGGGATGATATTTGGGTGCCCAGTGGCACGGTAGGCATAATCTGGAGATGTAGTCAGTTTAGCTCCCTGGCCCACACTCATCTGGGCAACCGCTTCTTCCGAGCCTCGGATCACCTCCTGCTTGCATAGCATAAACCTAAAGGGCTTGTTTCTGTCCCGGGAGGAATCAAATTTATTTCCATCTTCAAGCATCCCGGCATAGCGCACCACACAGGTCTGGCCACGCTTCGGGAAGGTGCCCCCGTCTCCTGGGGAGATGGTTTCCACCTGCACTCCCATGGCGGCGGTGGACGCTAGACGGGTGGGCAGCATGACAGGCAGCGTGGACCGACAGCAAACTTATATGTAAAACTTAAATGAATTTTGTGTTTAGACTTTGGTTCCATCCCTAAGATTATGTATATTGAAAGATAATTTTAAAAATATAAATATATATACATATATATATTTACATATACATATATACATGCATGTATATATTTAATTTAGATCTACAATTTATATACACATTTTTAATTTTTAATTTGTATATATGCACACAATTTATATACATGTGCATATATATATACAAATTAAAAAATCACACACACACATTTATATATATATATATATATATATATATATATACACACATATATAGACGTGTGTCATTGTGGTAAAAATTTGAGTGTGGAGAAACACAGAACATGGCTGAGACCTGATGGATCAGAACCCTGCTACTGGGGAATTGAAAGGCAGGGGCTTCACTGTGCAGAGGGGCAGAGGGGCCAATCTTCGAAGGGCAGAACTGCTGGGAGATGGAGGGGCCTGGTCAAAGGAAGGAGACTTGTGGTGAAGAGAACGAATGAAGTAACTGGTAGAAATTAAAGGTCCTGGTAGAACAAAATAGAATCCCAGAATGAAAACACACATGCCTGTCCCCCAAAGCCAAACAATATTTCCTAAAATCACCAGGAAAAATACATTTTGGGCAAGTACCTTATCCAGTGATCCTATCCATGTATCAAGACAGTGGGAAAAGTTCATTAAGCATGCAAAACTCAGTGAGACTTGATTCCCTCATGAGGCCTCTGTTAAGGATAAATACAAGTCAACAAGTGATGCTTCGGATACACTTTTGAACAGCATGTGCATCAATGTATTTAATTGTAGATCTAAGCCCAAAACCAAGGTGGGGACAGGTAGGGCAAAAAGGCTGTCACTTTATGTTTGGGTTGAAATAACAAATAAGAAATGGCAAGTAAAGAGGTTAGAGAAGAGGAAAATAATGTCTTTGATTGTCATAGTGGTACAATTTTGAAGTTGAAAGATGTAGTTTAAAACTTATAAACAAAATAGAAGTGTATTAAGTTAAAAGGGTATTAGTGACGTCAAAATTTTTTTAGTGCAATGTTAAACAGGAGCTATACAACCCTTCCTAAATAACAAACGAAAGGCACACACATACACACAAACACAAAAAGAAAACAAATAACATCAACAAAGAAATACGGAAAATACAACCTGCCACATATTGTAAATATAGACTAAAATATGGAAGAGTTTAGAATGCCATCAGGGAAATAAGAATATATTCTTATCTGCCAAAACCAATCATAACAATAAAAGCTTAAAACACTTTATGTAAAAAATCCAGTAGTTAAGAGTGATAGACAAAAAAAATTTAATTAGATTTAAAACGTAAACATTGTAACTAATAAACTAAAATTAATGTCTATACAGAGTGTAGTGGAACATCAGGAAAAGCTCCATATGGATTCATGTGCACGCATCTGGAGGCAGCAGGATCCCTCCATGGCAGAACCAAGAACAGGGAGCTAAGGAAGGGGGCCATTCTGTCATTCCAGTTTTAGAAGCTCCACAGTGAAGACAAGAGTGGCATATGGTGGGATGATGCCTGGATGCCCAGTAGATTAAAGTTAAATTTGTGACAGAGAATATTTTTTATCACAGCAGAATGGCAGCAAAAACAAATTAAAATTAATTCTGGTTGAAAGTTAAAATTTGAGCAGGGAATATATAGTTTTTTGTTTTTTTTTTTTTACAAAGAATGCCAACAAAAAAAAGTATATAGTAAAATTTTGAGATTCTAAAAACATAAATATAATAACTGACCCAGGCAGGGGTGATTAATTGATGATAAAATGCTCAGAGGGAGATTGTCAAAATACAGGATATTCATGCTGTTTCAAACCACTTTCAAATTATAAATAAGGTGTCTTTAAAAGGGACAGAGCTGATATACCCGCTCCTTAACCAAGTGAACGTCCTAGTATCAGAATAATGGGGATGAAGACACTGGGTTTTCTCTGCCTGCAGATGCCCTGAGGGAGAAAGCTCAAAGCATGACTCTGCAGTGTTCCTTGCAAAATGTTTAGGCTGAATTTAATCATGAGGGCATTTTCAGGCGACTTCTGAATGCAGAGCTTTCAGCCACACAGCTGACCTGTCCTCTACAAACAAGTCCATGTCACCACCATCAATGACAACAACCAAAAGAGGAAGCTATGTTTGGGGTTCAAAATGACTAAAACTGATAAGCTACATAGTTTTTACTTTTTTTGAACCAAAAATGTCTCTTCGTCATTTTGTTGTGTTCTTGGTGGTAACATGGACTATTTGAAGGAGACAAGTCAGTTGTCCTGTTCAATGTTCTACCTTCTGCAATTGTCTGAGGATTACCTCCTATGAAATTCAGGCTAAACATTTTCAGCAAGAACATGGCATTGTTCATACTCTACCCTGGCAGAGTCCCGGGTGACATGCTGTCTCATCCCAGTGGCTCTGGACTTTTGTTCTCTACAGGATGGAAATTGAGAGGAACAGGCTAAGGCCTGTCAATGCTATGTGTCCATCTGAGAATTGTTCTCCCTAGGTATTGATCACAATTGGACTAGGATGGACTGTGGCTTCTCAAATCAAAGGAGCCTGGTGGGTTGAATCAGCAAGAGCATTCTGTGGTCTAAAATTCAATCCTCTGTGAAGTTCCCCTGCAGGGTCATTGTATTTGGACTTGAACTTGCTTTGCTGTCTTAGTTTTTTCTCATCAATTGGAAAAGCCACTTTTTTGGCATCTTTTCATCCTTTGAATCCTTCTGGTAGTATTTGGTACCTATAGGGGAGGGAGAAAAAATACTCAAATAAGCATTTCTGTCAGGTCCTTTTGAAAGCTGAGTTTAGAGGGTTTGCTAAGTGGTGATATCCCAGGGGCAAACTGATCTCCTGCTGGGAGCTTGAGCTGAGGGTTAGGGTTGGGCTGGCTGAAAGGGGAAGCACCATTCACAAGTGAGAAGAAAACACCACTGAATTTCCCTCAACTTCCAGTCAACCTGTGGTGCAGGATATAGGGACCCTGCCTATGCCCAATAGGCAGCCGAGAACATCAGCCCCTTTCCTCCTGATCCCCTTTGTTTGGTGGAGAGTGATGTCTTTTCCTCCCAGTGAGGATGTGCTCAGCATCAATCATACATGATCAGACAGAGGGCTGCAGAAAAGGAAGATCCTCTGCAGAAAAACCCACTCCCTTAAACTCCATGTCCCAGTCTTCTAGGGAGGAGCAGGATGCTATGGGAGGAACTCTGGATATAAGAAGCAGCAGGAAGCTCAGACAACATCCACGTCCACTTCCAACCTTTAAAACAGAGGTGTAGTGATGCCACTCGGATATCACTGGACTAAGGCCACATGACTTGTTATTGAAAACCCACAAATTAAAACCCATGAACTAAGGCCCTTTCAACAAATATTGGGGGAAGAGAGGGGAAAGGCTCCAATCTGGAGATCTCAACAGCCATGAGATGCTGTTGTGTCAACTTGGCTATGACAGGAATAAGCTTTTACAAAAAACTATAAGAAATATGATGTCTGTGGTGCTTTTTGGGTTGGTTAAAATAATTTTTTAAAGAAAAAACAAATATATTTGTAAGTATTCTTTCAAAAAAGATCAGGAAAGAAGGAAAATTAAAAGAAAAGAAGACACTTAAAAAGGAGATAGCAAAGAGAGAGCAGGGAGTGTAATTATGATCCTACTTATTTTCCCCAATGCCTGGAAGTTGATTCCACACCTGGTTACACCTTACGGGATTTCTAGAAATCTTCTCAATATCTAGACCAACAAAACTCTGAAGTACAAAGTAAAAAGGATTAGTTTGTGTTTTACTACATTCTCCCCTCCCACTCATTGTTTTTCCAAAGTACATTTTGGGAAAAGTTTACTTTTTAATATTTACTGTCAGTGTCAAGAGTGTCATAAAGAAGTATTCGTATAAGAGCTCTTGAAAATTTCAGTCTTGATTCCTTATTGCATTCTCTTCAGGAGAGTGAGACCAGTAAGTTCTCTATCAGGGCTTCGCAGAAGGATAATAACTGACTGAAAGTAAAATGTTCACATTGCAGTGCCGAGCCAATTAGTGGGCTGTAAAATATGTGTGGTTAAATGTAAACTGGAAGTTTTATTTTAAACTGCCAAAGAAAATACTAAATTCCACTATATGTAATACGGGAGATATTATTTCTGTACATTAGATGTTAATGTAATGATTATTTCTCACTCCATCTTGTATTCAAAATTGAGCAAGTGAGCTTCAAGCAGAGGCTAAAGGTCTAATCTATAAATTTTCTTGTTTTTCTTCTTGCTTTTTTCTATGCTATACAAACAGTGCTGTTGAGAGGGGAATATAGGTGCCATCAAAGGCTGACGGAGGCTCAGCCTTTGGCGTAGCTAAACACATGGGGCACTTCCATGTTGGTAACCTGAGATCATAGAAGACCAGTGGTACTTCATGTCCTTAGCCACAGGTTAGAGTCACATGGGACTGTTTTAAAATTACACACACCCAAACCACACCCCAGGCCATGTAAGTGAGAATCTCAAGGTATGACATCAAGTCATTCATCTTAATTGAAATCTCACCAGGTGATTATTACATGGCAGCATGAGATAGAGATACTAAATAGAACAACCCAATTTCCCATCATTTTCTTTCCTTTCGATGTTTATCTCATGATTGCGTTTGTTCCCAGTGGTTCCATGGATTTTAGTCTTCTCTCTGACAACTTCAGTGAAATCTCTCTCTTATCCACTGGACTGGGCCAAAGCAAAGACTGTCCTGTGGATAGATTCTTGCCTGTCATCTTGTGCATACATAAAGCTGTTCCTGGAGTCACTTTTATCAAAGTTAATTCAGAAATGCTATCTCATGTAAGCTGGCCTCAAGATTCATCTGAGTTGCATTTAGATCATTAACTGGACTTGTATAAGTGGAAATGAGAATAAAAGGGAGAGAGATTAGAATGATGTACCTAACGATGTATGCAGTTTTGAAGTCCTGCCCTCTGCATGAACTTTTGAAGTGATGTCCATTTATAATGTCATAAGTGTCCTCCAGTTAATGTCAGCTCAAATGGGTCCATGAGCTGAGAACACTGAATCCATGGCAACTCCATCTACATTGGCACAAGTCTGCAGATCTGGAGCTGAAGACAAACCTGACTCCAGGCCAGTAGCTAACTCCCATCTGGTTCTAGTTTAGTTTTCTAAGTGGGGCTCTTTGTGCTCAGTTTCAACACTTCTCATTCAGAGGAACAAGGGAAGATTAAGGGTTGAATCAGTTGGGTTGCTCATAAGCCAAAGCAAGAGAAAACCCTATGTGTAAATGATGTATTAAAGCAATGCTTTCTGCAGAAAGAGATAATGGAGTTGGGAACGCTGGGAGGAAAGGTAAATTTCCCAAGAGACTGTGCAATGCCAGCAAAGAACCCTGTGTTCAGCAGCTGAAACTATGCAGTTGGATGAAGACAATGAGACCTGGCACTCCTGTGGCCATGAGAGAAACTCTCAAGACAGCAGAAGGAGAAGGAATACAACAGTTCAGGGAGCAAAGAGGAGATGGGGACAGAAAAGGCCTGGTGGTTAGGGGAGGTGCCACACAGAGGGAAGACAAGACAGAGGTGATAGCAGACACTGGAGAGAACAAATGGAGGAGGAAAAGCAGTGAGAGAATAAGCTGCCACCATCGACAGAGAGAAAGAAAAAGTGAGTGCAGCTAAGGGTCATAGATGGGATTACCTCTGCACCCTAAGCATGAAGGCCGGGGAATCCACTTGCTGAACCGGAGCTTTCTTTTAATAGACTTTGGTTTCAGGACACATGAGGCATGAATGTTTCCAGTGACTTGATGCTCTTGTGTGCTGTCTGCTGAGCCTTCAACTGCATCCCCTTCTAGCTGCAGAGGGATCTTCATTCCAACAGAGGGCTCTAAATGCAGCTCTGAAAATTATACAATAGTCAATTACATCCACTGGCATCTGTGATCTTACTGTGACTTTCTCTTCCACCCAAAGGACATCATTTCAGAAATGTGGCCTTGGACAGGAAAGTCCAAAGTGTGAGGGGAAGCCAATAGAGTGACTTCAATATTTTATTTTTTGTTGATCTTTCTTACATTGCTCAGTAAGGACAAGTTTGTCAGGAAGCCAAGGCACTCCTGATTCACAAAAATATTCAAGAAACACAAGATTAAGAAATACAAATAGCATCCAGGTAGATAAGGCAAAAGCAAGGAAATGCCCCTGTATGTATTCTCTGCTTTGGGGAGGGAAGAAATTATAAAAGTGCAAGTTAAATCAGAGTTGAGTTCAAACAGGAGATGGGGATAGAAGGTCCTGGCAGGGTGGCAGCCTATGGGACACAGAGGTGAGACCAGACAGAGGTTACAGCAGCTGATGAGAGAAAAGAACCGAGGAAGCCTAAACCTGGAGAATTTACAAAAGTTTCATTATTATATGATCTATTGCATATATATATATATATATATATATATATATATACACCCTATGTAGCATACACACGAAATATACATAATCTATGTGATAAATTACATCAATGCATACGTCTTTACGTATTAATCTAATAAAATATTATATAGAGTTTTGGAAATGCTAAACGTAATATTAAAATCACTATTCTGGTCCATTCAACTTGGAAAAAAAAATAGAAACATGAGAAGAATGAGAAAGAAAAGGTGTGGGAAAAGCAAATGATATTTAGACCACAGGAAAAATCATCAGGTGAAGGAAAATATGAATGAGACAAAAACATTCACTCTGTCCTCTCACCTGGAACCTGATCAGGCTCTGGACTCCAGGGAATGTGAGTAGGAGAGCGTGTGTCTGAGCCAGTGGGGTGACTCTTGGCCAGGAGTGTGAGAATCCATAGAGAAGCAAAGGAGATTTCAGTGGGAAGAAATCAGTTTAAATAAGTTATCATGGCATGTGTCAGGGACTGCGCATTCCCTAAAACCTGCTGGGTCCTTTTCATGGGCCCATATAGTGCTCATTTACTTATGTGACCCTCCCTCCTCCTGATGACAGGGGTCCCTTCATTCCTGGGCTGTGGGTATGACTTCGCAAATCAGCATGAGGCAGCCCAAGGGGCTCCAGGAGAAGATATTGAGAGGAACACAGTGACAATGAACACTACCCAGGGTTTTAAGGAAATCTGAGCAGAAGTGGTTTCTGTGAGATGGAAACTGAGGACATGGCCATGGACATGATCGGAGATGATGAACTAAACAAATTTTTATTAAAGAGACTGATGTGAATACTTTCCATGTGGGATTTGACCTTTGTTTTGAAAAACTGCAGAAAATAGTGAGAAGAAGGAGCTGGACATGTCATGAGACTGACTTGTGGGCCCAGGATTTACACTGTAACTGAACAGACCTCATAGGTTGATTTGGCGTCATGAGGGATGGGGAAGAAGAGGAAGAAAACTGGCAGAGGAGTATGTGTGAGAAAGGAAGGGAAGAGGGGTCTATAGAAAACAGAGCGCGTCACAATTTCTCTGCCTAGAGAAGGCATAGTTGTGAAGTCAATTTATAAATGTATATTTGGCAGAAAGACAAGTGGATTAGATAACACCTATTTATAGGTTTATTGAGAAATTGTTACTGAATCAGGCCATTTGGAAAATATAATAATTAATACTCTCAACAATGATTATAAGTAGATGCTATATTTTAGGTAACTCCGATGAGGAAACAGATTTACATCCCCAAAAGACAAAATCTTTGGCGAAGGTGAACCACCAGGAAGTGGCAAACTCAGGACCTGAGAGCAGATTTCGTCCTAAGCTCCAGGCTCGTTCTCACTTCACTGGGTTGGAGCATCATGGATTTCAGCAGGACCCTGAGTGAGCATGAAGAGGCCACATTCTCTCCTAAACTCGTAGCATCAAGGCCACCAAGACCTGGATTAGAGCTTCCTATCCCTTTCCTTCCCTACCTTGAAAGGGACATTGGGTCCTAGAATCAGCATTGTCTGTGAAGCTGCAGGTGGTGGAGGAAAGGCTCAATGAGGCTAAGCCATTTCCACAGTCGAACCCTAGATCCAGCTGTAGTCCAAGAGAAATCGGCACCCCGGTACTTGGTTCCAGCTGTGTCTGTGAAGCCTGCAACTCTGACAGGTAGTAGCTCAAGTCTCCACGGCAAGTCCCTTGGGGACATGTCTCCTGGGTGGGAGCTAAAAGGAGAAAGGGCTTCAGTAGGAATGGTCTCAGTTTTCCCTTGTTAAGTGCTCCTAGACCCCCATCCCTGCTGTTCATGCTTCTCTCTATAGTATTTCTGTGACCTAGGCCACATAGACAGACATGAGGTAAAAGCAGGTGATGTCACCTTTTCTGTGTGTGCCCGGGAAAGCTGGCATGGGCTGTGGTTTCACGGCTATGGTGCCCCTGACGTGAAATGGTTGTGCAAAAGTGCCTACATGTGTAGGTGGCCAGAGAAGAGATAATTGCCTGATTGAAGGCATGTAGGTAGGAACATAATTTCAGAAAGGAGAGATTCCAGATCTTAAAAAAAAAAGGTTTGTTGTACAAATATATCTAGATGAACTACTGTGGGCAAGAGCTTGTTAAAAGCCCTAACCCCTTTCCAGCTTTCATGCCCACAGCCTGCTCTTGAAAGAAGGAGCCAGATGACAGAGGAGTCACTTGGGACAGGAGTAGAGGAAGTTTCATCCTCTGGCTTTATGTGATCAAAACTGGATCCCAGAGCAAGATTGAAAACAGGCTCAGTGTAGATGGCCTGCCTGAATTGACAGCCTGTCTCAGCAGAACAAGTTTCAGAAAGAAAACATGTGGAGGATGCCTGAGAAGACATTGGAGCTTTGTGAGCTTCAGGCTGGAGTACTCACAGGCTACATCCAGAGCAGAGCATGTGAGCTGATCATCCAATGAGGACAAGGTGCCTCTGTAAGGCTGGTGGCAGTCAGACAGGTCACGTTGAACTGAAGGAGTCAAGTAAATTTCATCCAAGGAGTCCTCTGGGACTTCCTGCTCCTTTACTTCTGGCAGCTCCTGGCTCAGCCTGGAGTAAAGAAGACAGAGGATAAACATTGGACGGGACGAAAACCACTGCACACAGCTGGTTCCATAGGGGGGACCACAGGACAGGCCAGAGGAAGCCAATATAGTGCATTTAGAGAGACACAACCATTCTTCCCTGTCTCAAGCAGGAAACAGAGTGGCAGTTGCTCAGCGCACTGGGCAGACAATGAGCTGGGGAGGAAGGAGATGGAGGGATCCCTGTGGGAAACTGCCAGGACACAGTGCATTCAGCACTTCTGCATACATATTGTTGAAACTAGCATCAGAGGCCAATTGAATACAGCTTCTTGAATCTTCACAGAAAGAGTTCCTTTATCCTCAACATCATTTTTCTTATAACTGTGAGTATGACATGAGCTAGTTTCATTCCCTATCCTTCTATCAAATACTTGCAAATATGGTAATGCCAAAGAGGCAGACATTAGGTGAGATCAAGATATCACTGAGCTTGGTCAGTTCACCTGGCTCAACTGCTTGTGGGTTCCTATGCTTGAGAAGCATTAAGAAATTGAAACTTATTTAAGTACCACAATAAAGAAGACAACACTGTTAATGGGGTAATTTGCTGTTGGATGGATGGATGAGATTGTTCTATTTATCACTTCCCATCCGATTTTCTCCTGGATTTGTGGTCTCCAGGTGTCACTATTGAGCTAAAAGCCCACAAATCCATGGTTACCTGGGTGGCACTGGCGCTTCCCCTTCCTCTTCCTCATGATCCTTTTGGTTTCCTGTAAAGAAATTCAGAAGAGCAGGTCACAGTAAGCAAATCACACTTCACACAAGACCAAATCAGTGTCCGGTCATAGAACAGGGACATCAATATCCTCAGTGTAAGAATGTGATATTCTGACAGGAAGGTCCTAATGCGCTCCTTATCAAGTCTTGTCAGAAGTAGATGACCCTGCTTTCCAGACCCATGAGATGGAATCTCCCTCATCTGGTAGATCTTAATCACATATCCTCTCACCTAAGTCTGTGCAAACAAACTTTTCCCCTATGATCTTCTAAAAAGGCTCTATCTACCCTTCAGAGGCGTTGCTACAATAATGATTTATCTCGTCATATATCCTGGTTGATGAGTTGTTAGAGACATTTATATTTCTACATTTTTATTCTACGTTTATATTTATGTTTATTTGCAGTAAAAATGTAACTGCATAGCTATGAATAGCTGACTGAAGGAAGACCTAGACTGAGGCCGAGAAGAGTAAAATAGGGTAACAACATCTCTAAATACACAGGCAAAGTTGCCAGTGGCCTTGGTCAAGCATAGAAACACCATGAACATTGTGAAGGGGTACAAATTACATCATTAGATGTGACAAGAGACATAGGAACTGAGCTAGGCAGCCTCACAGATACCTCCTGTACAGCTCCTGTACTCAGGTGGCTATGAATTTGTCCCACCTGCCTTTGGTTCAGTTACCTGATATTGGGGCCAGGGAGAAGTGGAAAGCTCTCTCACCCACTGACATCTGTATTAAATATTCCATCCAGAACTCCCTCCCTCCCTAATGTCAGCTCAAATGAGTCCATGAGGTGAGAACACCGATTCCCTGGCAACTCCATCGACCTTGGCAGAGGCTGCACAACTGGAGCTGAAGACAAAACTGATTTCAGGGTGATAGGGAACTCCCACCTGAGACGTAGATTCTAATTTCGTTTTCTAAGTGGAGCTCCTTATGCTAAGCTTTGACATTTCTCATTGAGAGGAACAAGAGACAATTAAGGGTTAACTTAGTGGAGTTGCTCCAAAGCCCCCACAAGAAGAAAACCTATGTGAAAATGATACATTGAGGCAATGCTCCCTGCAGAAAGAGATAATGGAGTTGGGATGCTGGGAGGAAAGGTAAATTTCCCAGGAGAGTGTGCAATTCCAGTCAAAGAAACCCGTGTTCAGCAGGTTAAACTATGCACGTGGATGAGGACAAGGAGGTCTGCTTCTCCTGTGGCCGTGAGAGGGACTCTCAAGGCAGCAGAATAAGGAATAGAGCAGAGTACAGAGAGCAAAGAGGAGATGGGGACAGAAAAGGCCTCGCAGGGTGGGAGACCATGGGATACAGAGGTGAGACCATGGGATAGAGGTAAGACCAGACAGATGTTACAACAGCCACTGGAGAGAACAAAGGGAAGTGTAAAAGCAGTGAGAAAATGAGCTGTCACCATAGACAGAGAGAAATAAGAAGTGAGTGCAGTTAAGAGTCACAGATGTGATTACCTCTGCAACCTAAGCGTGAAGGCCAGGGAATCCACTTGCTGAACCGGAGTTTTCTTTTAATCATCTTGGATTTCAAAACACTTGAGGCATGAATGTGTTCAGTGGCTTCATGCCCTTGTTTGTTGTCCGCTGAGCCTTCGAGTGCATCATCTTCCAGTTGGGGAGGGTTCTTCATCCCAACAGAGGGCTCTAAAACCAGTTCTGAAAACAAAACGACAGCCAATGGCATCCACTGGCATCCATTATCTTACTGTGACTTTCTCTTCCATCCAAAGGATGTCAAATCAGCAATATGGCCTTGGACAAAAAAGTCCAAAATGTGAGGGAAACCAATTGAGTGACTTTAATATTTTCTTTTTGTTGATCTTTCTTCCATTACTCAGTAAGGACAAGTTAGTCAGGAGGCCAAGGCACTCCTGATTCTACAAAAATATTCCAGAAACACCGGATTAAGAAACACAAATAGCTTCAAGGTCGATTAGGCAAAAGCAAGGAAATCCCCTGTATGTAGTCTGTGCTTTGGGGAGGGAAGAGATTATAAAAGTAAAAGTCAAATCACAGCTGAGTCCAAAGAGGAGATGGGGATGGAAGGGTCTGGCAGGGTGGCAGCCCATGGGACACAGAGGTGAGACCAGACAGAGGTTACAGCAGCTGATGAGAGAACAGAACAGGGGAATCCTAAACCTGGAGAATTTATAAAACTTGCATCATTATAAGGTGCATTGCATATACATATATGCCCTATGTAGCAAACACCCCAAATATACATAATGTATGTGATAAATGACATCAATTTATATATCTGTACATAATCCAATGAAAACCTATTATACAGGAATTTTGGAGATATTGAATGTAGCATTTTAATCACTATCCTGGTTTATTGAAATTGAAAAAAAATTAGAAGCATGAGAACAATGAGGAAGAGAAGGTGTGGGAGAAACAAATGGCCTTTTAAAAAGCAGGAGAAATCACCAGCTGAAGGAAAACATGAATAAGACAAATATTCACTCTGTCCTCTCACCTGGAGCCTGATTCAGGCTCTGGACTCCAGGGAACATGAGTAAGTGAGAGTGTGTGTGAGCCAGCGGGGTGAGTCTTGGCTGAGGATGTGAGAATCCATAGAGAGGCAAAGGAGAATCCAGTGGGAAGAAATCAGTTTAAATAAATGATCATGGCACCTGTAAGGGCCTGCACATCTCCTGACAACCACTGAGCACCATCCATGTGTCCTCTCCAGGGATACAGATAGTGCTTGTTATCTCATGTGACCATCCCTACTCCTGAGGACAGGGGTACCCTCATTCTTCAACTGTGGACATCCCCTGACAGATGAGGAGCAGGCAGCCCTAAAGGCTCCAGGAGGTGATATTGAGTGGGATGGAGAGTGAGAATCAACACGACCCAGGACTTTACGGAAATTGGAGCAGAAGTGGTTTCTGTGAGATAGAAATTGAGGACATGGTTGTAGACATGAGCGGAGATGATGAACTAAATGGATTTTCAAAAAAGAAATTGATGTGAATAGTTTCTGTGGGAAAGTAGCCCTTTTTTATCAAAATGAGCAGAAAATAGGGAGAAGAAAGAGCTGAACATGTCATGAGATTGACTCCTGGGCTCAGACTTCACACTGTTACTGAATGGGCCTCATAGGTTATTAGTGAAAGTGCCTGATAGTGGAGATTTGGCTTCATAAGGGATGGGGAAGAGGAACAAGAAAACTGGCAGAGGAGTATGTGTGAGAAAGGAAGGGAAGAGGGGCCTGTAGAAAACAGAGAGCATCAAAATTACTCTACCTCAGAGAAGGCATAGTCTGTGAAGTCATTTTCTAAATGTATATTTGGCAGAAAGGCCAGTGGATTAGATAACAGCTATTTACAGGTTTGCTGAGCAATTGTTATTGAATCAGGCCCTTTGGAAATTATAATAATTAATACTCTCAGTAATGGTGACAGGCAGATGCTGTTTTTTAGGTAGGTCTGATGAGGAAACAGAGATTTACATCCCCAAAAGGCAAAATATTTGACCAAAGTAAACAACCAGATAGAGGTCCACCCAGGACCTGAGAGCAGACTTTGTTCAAAGCCCCAGGCTCTTTCTTACCTCACTGGGTTGGAGCAACATGGATTTCAACTTGAGCATGAGTGAGCATGGAAAGGCCCCAGTCTCTCCCCCTCCCATAGCACCATGACCACCAAGACCTGGATTAGACCTTCCTATTCCCCTTTCCTTACCTACCTTGAGAGGGACATTGAGTCCCAGAATCAGCATTGGCTGTGAAACTGCAGGCGGTGGAGGAAAGGTCCGGCTTGGCTAAGCCATTCCCATGGTCGAAGCCTTGATCTGGCTGTAGTCCCAGACAATTGGGCACCAGGGTGCCTGGTTCCGGCTGTGTCTGTGAAGCCTGCACCTCTGACAGGTAGTAGGTCAACTCTCCTCTGCAAGTCCCTTGGGGACAGGTCTCCTGGGTAGGAGCTGAAAGGAGAAGGGGCTTCAGTTGGAATGGCCTCAGTTACCCCATTGTTAAATGCATCCAGAACACCCATTTTTGTTGCCTCTGCTTCTCACCAAAGCAATCCAGTGACTCTGGCCACACGGACAGACATCATATAAATGCAGGCGATGTCACCATTTCTGTCTGTGCCTGTGCACAGTAACAGGGGCTGGGGTTCCAGGGCTGCGGTGTCCCCAAAGTGCAATAGTTGTGTAAAACAGCCTGCATGTGTGGGTGGCTAGAGAAGAGATAATGGCACTGTTGAAGGCATGTAGTTAGGAACATAATTTCAGAAAGGAGAGATTCCAGATCTTAAGAAGAAAGTTTGTTGTGCAAATATATCTAGATGAGTTCCTGTTGGTGAGAACTTGCTAAAAGCCCTAACCCCTTTCCAGCTTTCATGCCCACAGCCTGCTCTTGTAAGAAAGAGCCAGGTGACAGAGGAGTCACTTGGTATAGGAGTGCAGGAAGTTCATCCTCTGGATGTACGTGATCATAGCTGGATGCCAGAGCCAGATTCAAAACAGACTCAGTGTAGATGGCCTGCCTGCATTGACATCCTGTCTCAGCAGCACAAGTTTCAGAAAGAGAACATGTGGAGGTTGCCTAGGAAGACACTGGAGGTACAGGCTGGAGTACTATGACCTTCAGGCTGGAGTACTCACAGGCTACATCCAGAGCAGACCATGTGAGCTCATCATCCAATGACCACAAGGTGCTGTTATAAGGCTGGTGGCAGTCAGACAGGTCATGGTGAACTGAAGGAGTCAAGTAAATTTCATCCAAGGAGTCCTCTGGGACTTCCTGCTGGTTTACATCTGGCAGCTCCTGGCTCAGCCTAGAGTAAAGAAGACAAAAGATAAACACTGGACAGGACCAAAACCACTGCACCCAGCTGGTTCCATAGGCAGGACCACAGCAGAGGCCAGAGGAAGCCAATACAGGGCCTTCCTAACCATCCTTCCCTGTCTCAAGCAGGAGACAGAGCAGCAGGGCTCAGTGCACTTGGTGGACAATGAGCTGGGGAGGAAGGAGATGGAGGGATCCCTGTGCGAAACTGCCAGGACACAGTTCATTCAGCACTTCTGCACACATTTTGTTGAAACTAGCATCAGAGGCCAACTGAATACAGTTCTTTAATCTTCACAGAAAGAGTTCCTTTATCCTCAACATCACTTTTCTTAAAACTGTGAGCATGACATGAGCTATTTGCATTCACCTTCCTTCTATCAAATCCTTGCAAGCATGATAATGCCAAAGAGGCAGACATGAGTTGAGATCAGGAAATCTCTTGAAACCCATTTAAGTACCACAATAAAGAAGACAACACTGTTAAAGGGGTAATATGCAGTTGGATGGATGGATGAGATTGTTCTTCTCATCAGTTCCCATCCAATTTTCTCCTGGTTCCATGGTCTCCAGGTGGTAATTGATCTAATAGCCCACAAATACACAGTTACCTGGGGGGCACTGGAGCTTTCCCTTCCTCTTCCTCATGATCCTCTTCATTTCCTGTAAATAATTTCAGAAAAGCAGGTCACAGTAAGCAAATCACACTTCACAAAAGACCAAATTAGTGTGCAGTCATAGAACAGAGACATCAATATTCCCGGTGTAAAATGTGATATTCTGGCAGGAAGGTTCTAATGCGCTCTAGATCAAGTCTTTTCAGAAGTAGATGAGCCTGCTTTCCAGACCCATGGGACAGAATCTCCGTCATGTAATATACATCTTAATCATATATCACCTGACCTAAGTGTGTGCAAAGAAATCTTTCCCCTCATGATCTTCAAAAATGGCCCTAACTACCCTTCAAAAATGTTTCTGCAATACTGATTTATCTGGTCATATATCCTGGTTATCAATTTTTAGAGAAACTTGTATTTCTCCTGGTATCAAGGTGACTGACTAGCTAAGACAAGCTGACTCCATGGAGACTAAGACAGGCTGAGAAGAATGAAAGCAGGGAAACAACATCGTTAAATATGTGGGCAAGTCTGTCTTCGACAGTGGCCATGGACAAGCACGGAAACCCCATGGACCATGTAAAGGGGAACAAATTACATCATTACAGGTGACAAAAGACATAGGAACCAAGCTAGGAGTCCTCATAGTTATCCCCGGTACAGCTCCTGTACATGGGTGGCTATGAATTTGTCCCACCTGCCTGTGGTCCAGTAACCTGATATTGCGGACAGGGAGAAGTGGAAAGCTCTCTCACCCACCAACATCTGTATTAAATATTCCATCCTAGAACTCCCTCCCTCCGTAATGTCAGCTCAAGTGAGTCCATGAGGTAAGAACACTGAGTCCCTAGCAACTCCATCAACCTTGGCACAGGCTGCATATGGGGAGCTGAAGACAAAAATGATTTCAGGGCGATAGGGAACTCCCACTGTGAGGCAGGTTCTAATTTCGTTTTCTAAGTGAGGTTCTTTATGCTAAGTTTTGACACTTCTCATTGAGAGGAACAAGAGACAATTAAGGGTTAACTTAGTTGTGTTGCTCCAAAGCCCACACAAGAGGAAAACCTATGTGTAAATGATGCATTAAGGCAATGCTCCCTGCAGAAAGAGACGGTGGAGTTGGGGATACTGGGAGGAAACTTAAATTTCCCAGGAGAGTGTGAAATTCCAGTCAAAGAAACCCACGTTGAGCAGCTATAACTGTGCACATGGATGAGGACAAGGAGGTCTGGCTCTCCTGTCACTCTGAGAGGGACTCTCAAGACAGCAGAATAAGGAATAGAGCAGAGTTCAGAGAGGAATGAGGAGATGGGGAAAGAAAAGACTTCACAGGGTGGGAGATCATGGGACACATAGTTAAGACCAGAAAGAGCTTACAGCAGCCACTGGAGAGAACAAATGGAAAGGAAAAAGCTGTGGGAGAATGAGCTGTCACCACACAGAGAGAAATAGTAAGTGAGTGCGGCTAAGAGACACAGATGTGATTACCTCTGCACCGTAAGCGTGAAGGGTAGGGAATCCACTTGCTGGACTGGAGTTTTCTTTTAATCATCTTGGGTTTCCAAACACTTGAGGCATGAATGTGGCCAGTGACTTGATGCTCTTGTGTGTTGTCTGCTGAGCCTTTCAGTGCCTGCTCTTCCAACTGCAGAGGGTTCTTCATCCCAACAGAGGGCTCTAAAACCAGTTCTGAAAACAAAACGACAGCCAATGGCATCCACTGGCATCCATTATCTTACAGTGACATTCTCTTCCACCCAAAGGACATCAAATCAGGAATATGGCCTTGGACAAGGAAGTCCAAAGTTTGAGGGGGAAGCCAACAGAGTGACTTTAATATTTTCTTTTTGTTGATCTTTCTTCCATTACTCAGTAAGGACAAGTTTGTCAGGAGACCAAGGCACTCCTGATTCACAAAAATATTCAAGAAACACAAGATTAAGAAACACAAGTAGCTTGCAGGTAGATTAGGCAAAAGTAAGGAAATCCCCTGTAGGTAGTCTGTGCTTTGGGGAGGGAAGAGATTATAAAACTGAAAGTTAAATCAGAGCTGAATTCAAACAGGAGATGGGGATGGAAGAACCTGGCAGGGACATGTGCCCATGGGACACATAGGTGAGACCAGACAGAGGTTACAGCCGCTGATGGGAGAAAAGAACCGGGGAAGCCTAAACTTGGAGAATTTACAAGACTTGCATCATTATAAGGTCCATTGCATATACATATACACCCTATGTAGCATTCACACCAAATATACATAAGGTATGTGATAAATGATATTAATTTATACATTAGTACATAAACTAATGAAAACATATTATACAGGAATGTGGGAGATACTGAATATAACATTGTAATCACTATTTTGGTTTACTGAAATTAGAAAAAAAAAATCAGAAGCATGAGAACAATGAGGAAGAGAAGGTGTGGGAGAAACAAATGACCTACTTGAAAGCAGGAGAAATCACCAGCGGAAGGAAAATTTGAATAAGACAAACATTCACTCTGTTCTCTCACCTGGAGCCTGATTCAGGCTCTGGACTCCAGGAAACATGAGTAAGTGAGAGTGTGTGTGAGCCAGCGGGGTGACTCTTGGCTGGGGATGTGAGAATCCATAGAGAAGCAAAGGAGATTCCACTGGGAAGAAATCAGTTTAAGTAAGTTATCATGACACCTGTAAGGGACTGCACATCTCCTGACAACCACTGAGCACCATCCATGTGTCCTCTCCATGGACCCAGATAATGCTTGTTATCTCATGTGACCATCTCTCCTCCTGAAGACAGGGGTCCCCTCATTGTTCACCTGTGGACATCCCCTGACAGATGAGGAGCAGGCAGCCCTAAAGGCTCCAGGAGTTGACATTGAGTGGGATGGAGAGTGAGAAGGAACACGACCCAGGTCTTTAAGGAAATCTGAGCAGAAGTGGGTTCTGTGAGATGGAAATTGAGGACACGGTTGTATACATGAGTGGAGAGGATGAACTAAATGGATTTTCATAAAAGAGAATGATGTGAATAGTTTCTGCGTGAAAGCAGCCCTTTGTTTTCAAAAAGAGCAGAAAATAGGGAGAAGAAAGGGCTGGACATGACATGAGACTGACTCCTGGGCTCAGACTTTACACTGTTACTGAATGTGCCTCATAGGTTGTCACTGAAAGTGCCTGATAGTGGAGATTTGGCTTCATGAGGGATGGGGAAGAAGAGGAAGAAAACTGGCAGAGGAGTATGTGAGAGAAACGAAGGGAAGAGGGGCCTCTAGAAAACAGAGAGCGTCACAATTGCTCTACTTCAGTGAATGTACAGTCTGTGAAGTCACTTTCTAAATGTAAATTTGGCAGAAAGACAAGTGGATTAGATAACAGCTATATATAGGTTTATTGAGCGATTGTTATTGAATCAGGCCCTTTGGAAATTATAATAATATGCTCAACAATTATTACAGGTAGATACTATTTTTTACGTAGCTCTGATGAGGAAAGAGAGATTTACATCCCCTAAAGACAAATTTTTATGCCAAAGTGAACAACCAGAAAGAGGCAAACGCAGGCCCTGAGAGCAGGTTTTGTCCTAAGCCCCAGGCTTTTGCTCACCTTACTGGGTTGGAGCATCATGGATTTCAACTTGACCCTGAGTGAGCACGGAGAGGCCCCATTCTCACCTCCACCCATAGCACCGTGACCACCAAGGCCTGGATTAGAGCTTCCTATTCCCCTTTCCTTCCCTACCTTGAAAGGGACATTGGGTCCCAGATTCAGCATTGGCTGTGAAGCTGCAGGTGGTGGTGTAAAGGCACCGCCTGGCTAAGCCATTCACACAGTCGAACCCTTCATCCAGCTGTAGTCCCAGACAATTGGGCACCAAGGTGCTTGGCTCCGGCTGTTTCTGTGAAGTCTGCACCTCTGACAGGTAGTAGCTCAAGTCTCCACTGCAGGTCCCTTGGGGACAGTTCTCCTGGATGAGAGCTGAAAGGAGAAGGGGTTTCAGTAGAAACAATCTAAGTTTTCCCATTGTTAAATGTACACAGAACGCTCATCTCTGCTGTCCCTCCTACTCACTAAAGCCTTCCAGTGACCCCGGCCACACAGACAGACATCATGTAAATGTAGGCAATGTCACCTTTCCTGTCTGTGCATGTGGAAACTGACGCGGGCTGCGGTTCCAGGGCTAGGTGTCCCTAAAGTGACATAGTTGTGCAAAACTGCCTGCATGTGTGGGTGTCCAGAGAAGAGATAATGGCACTGTTGAAGGCATGTGGTTAGGAACATAATTTCAGAAAGGAGAGATTCCAGATCTTAAAGAAGTAGATTTGTTGTGCCAATATATCTAGATGAGCTCCTGTGGGCAAGAACTTGCTAAAAGCCCGAACCACTTTCCAGCTTTCATGCCCACAGCCTGCTCTTGTAAGAAGGAGCCAGGTGACAGAGGAGTTACTTGGGACAAGAGTAGAGGAAGTTTCACCCTCTGGATGTACATGATCGTAGCTGGATCCCAGAGCCAGATTCAAAGCAGGATCAGTGTAGATGGCCTGCCTGCATTGACAGCCTGTCTCAGCAGCACAATTTGCAGAAAGAAAACATGTGGAGGCTGCCTGGGAAGACCCTGGAGCTTTGTGACCTTCAGGCTGGAGTACTCACAGGCTACATCCAGAGCAGAGCATGTGAGCTGATCATCCAATGAGAACAAGGTGCCGCTATAAGGCTGGTGGCAGTCAGACAGGTCATGGTGAACTGAAGGAGTCAAGTAAATTTCATCCAAGGAGTCCTCTTCCTGCTCAATTACGTCTGGCAGCTCCTGGCTCAGCCTGGAATAAAGAAGACAAAAGATAAACACTGGACAAGACCAAAACCACTGCACCCAGATGGTTCCATAGGGAGGACCACAGGAGAGGCCAGAGGAAGACAAGTACAGTGCCCTCAGAGAGACATAACCATCCTTCCCTGTCTCAAGCAGGAGACAGATTGGCAGGTGCTCAGTGCACTGTGCAGACAATGAGCTTTAGAGTAAGGAGATGGAGGGATCCCTGTGGGAAACTGCCAGTTCACAGTGCATTCAACCCTTCTGCACACATTGTGTTGAAACTAGCATCAGAGGCCAATTGAATACAGGTTCTTGAATCTTCACACAAAGAATTCCTTTATCCTCAACATCACTTGTTCTCAAAACTATGAGCACGACATGAGCTATTTTCATTCCCTTTCCTACTATCAAATACTTGCAAACATGGTAATGCCAAAGAGGCAGACATAAGGTGAGATCAGGAAATCCCTGAGCTTGTTCAGTTCACCTGGCTCAACTGATTGTTCGTTTCTGTACTTAAGAAGGATTAGGAAATGAAACCTATTTAATTACCACAATAAAGAAGACAACATTGTTAAAGGGGTGATTTGCAGTTGGATGGATGGATGAGATTGTTCTATTCATCACTTCCCATCCGATTTTCTCCTGGATCCGTGGTCTCCAGGTGTCAATATTGAGCTAACAGCCCACAAATTCACAGTTACCTGGGAGGCACTGGAACTTTCCCTTCCTCTTCCTCATGATCCTTTTGATTCCCTGTAAAGAAATTCAGAAAAGCACATCACAGTAAGCAAATCACCCTTCACACAAGACCCAATCAGTGCCCAGTCATAGCACAGCGACATCAATATCCTCAGTGTAAGAATGTGATATTCCGACAGCAAGATTCTAATGTGCTCTAGGTCAAGTCTTTTCAGGAGTAGATGAGCCTGCTTTCCAGACCCATGGGACAGAATCCCCCTCATCTAATAGATCTTAATCACATATCCTCTGACCTAACTCTGTGCAAACAATTAAACAAAACGTTTCCCCAATGGCCTTCAAAAATGGCCCTCACTATTCTTCAGAAGTGTTGCTGCAATACTGATTTATCTCACTATATATTCTGGTCGATGAATTCTAAGAGAAATTTATATTTCTTTTGGTATCAGGGTGACTGCCTAGCTAAGACAAGCTGATTCATAGGAGACCAAGACTGAGGCTGAGAAGAATGACAACAGGGAAACAACATCTTTAGATATGTAGGCAAGGCTGTCTTCGACAGTGGCCTTGGACAAGCATAGAGACTCCACGGACATTGTGCAGGGGCACAAATTACATCAGTAGAGCTGACAAGAGACATTGGAACTGGGCTAGGCGGCCTCACAGATACCTCCTGTACACATTTTGTACACAGGTGGCTATGAACTTGTCCCAGCTGCCTATGGCCCACTTTCCTGATATTGGGGCCAGGGAGAATTGGAAAGCTATCTGACCCTCTTGTATTTATATTAAATATTCCATCCTAGTCCTCCCTCCCTCTCTCTCTCCTTCTCTCCCTCCTTTTCTCCTTCTCTTCCTTCCTTCCCTCCCCCTCTCCTCATCTTTCCTTCCTTCCTTCCTTCCTTCCTTCCTTCCTTCCTTCCTTCCTTCCTTCTTTCCTTCCTCCTTCCTTCCTTCCTTCTCTTACTTTTGACACAGGGTCTCTCTCTGTCACACAGGGTGGAGTGCAGTGGTGCAGCCACGCCTCACTGCAGCCTCACCTTCCTGTGCACAGATGGTTCTCCTACCTCATGCTCTGGAGTAGTTGGGATTGCAGGTGTGAACCAGCTTGCCTGGGTAATTTTTTGTATTCGTTGTAAAGATGAATTTCACCACATTTCCCAAGCTCATCTTGAACTCTTGAACTCAAGTAATCCACCCACCTGGGCCTCCCCAAGTGCTGAAATTACAGATGTGAGCCACTGCCCACAGCTTCATCCTAGTTTCCAATTCAAATCAATAGGTTTGTATACAGCCTGTCCTCAGAATTGATCTTCCTTAGCCTAGACAGAGGTATGAGGGACAAAGAATATCGAGGCTACCTGGGAGAAAGTTTGGAGTTTCCTCCCCTTCATCCTGAGAGCATTCACTGTCTACAACCAGAGTAGGGTCGACTTTGTCTCCCTCAAATGTGACTTTGGTGCTCCTGTGAGGCTGGTTGGAGTCAGAAGCGCTGTGGCTGTTTGAACGAGGGACAGCACATTTTTCCAATGAGTCCTGAGGGGCTTCCTTTTCCTCAGTCTTCTGCACCCCCCTGATGAGCCAGGTAGAACAGAGATGACAAACATTAAACCAAGAGGGATTGGACCCCAGGAGTTTCCAGCTGGTTTTGACGGGAGGCATAATGTAGTGGTCCCAGAAAGCAAAGGGGAGGTTCCATTTAAGACAGAACAGAAACCTCCTCTATCTGCAACAGAGCACGGCTGCCTTGGGAACCAGAGAGGAAGAGAGCAGCTGGTGTTCATTGTACTGGACAGACAGGAGCTGAGGAAGGCAGAGGCTCAGCTGCTTCTGTATGGTACAGTCTTCACAGCACTCACACAGAACCAAAGAGAGCTGCCACACCGTGCGTCTAAGCTGGGTTGTATTTAACATGCTGTGGCCAAGGGAATACACGGGCCTGAGCCTTGTTAGGCTCTGGAGATGACATGCCATGTATTTTTTTTTTTTTTTTTAATTTAACATTGTGATGTGAAATGTAAAGTTTTCCTGGGCACTTTTCTTGGTGTTTAACTTTGGTAGGTGCTTCCTAATTCCTCTGCTTGTTGTCTCTGTATTATTTATCTTCCCTAACAAGAGTCTAAGGACAACCATGTGGAAAGCAGCTTTCCATCTCATCCTGGCTTCACTACAAGGGAGGACCGGTCTCCTATGCGTGTGCAGGAAGTCCCTAGGGCTAGTGAGGATATCAAGGGTCATGCTTACTGGTGCCATGAAGACAATAGACAAGCATGTCTACAGGGCTATTCCCTTGTTGGTGAGTGCATGAGATCAGTTCACTCTGCAGCTGTCTGTATCCTGTATCTACAATCTGTGACTACCTTCACCCACCTGTGTTCTTTCTGAGATCTTTCTCATATTTTACCACCCATTACCCGCTCCTGATTATTCAGTGTTACCTGGGGGCAGGTGATTGCTGTGCTTTCTCGACCTCCTCATCTGTAACATCTTCATCTTCATCTTCATCACTTTCTACAAATACAGAAGTGTCTATTCAGATATTTCCCACTTCACCTACTGGAAGCACAGTTAGCCCTATGTGCACTGAGACATGAACATCCATGTATGGGTCTGCATTGTACTGAAAACTCTCCTGTTTATCTCTAAAATATGCCCTGGCATGTTCTCCTGATCCATGAGGGAATGTGTTTCTGACCTGGAGGGTCACCATCAAGATGTGGCGAAATATTGAAAAGACTTCTTGCTCCCCATGTCACTGGAGTCCTGTCCTGCCTCTCTCTAAGCCTCAGCAGCTGTCTCCCCAATCCTGCCACTGTTCTGATACCCAGGCACAGGCTCTGCGTCCTGTCACAGCTTGCATTACAACCTGTATCTTTCTCTTAGGACAGGACAAACAAACTTGTCCCACAATACTCCGGGGACTTCATGTCCCACATACATCAGGGACATCATGGGCCCTCCAAGTGACTTCCACAGTACTACCCAGGGACACTTTCTCCATGGGGAGTACTCCAGTCTAGACCACTTCCTACCACCAAATGCCCCCACATCAATTGCCTTCTCCAACACCACACAGCAAGGGGCTTTATCTCATCATGAAATACAGTCGTAAGCATTCCCACATTTGAATGCAAGAGACAATTGGTTTGCCTTTACAGATTTAGAGACAGGAACTTAGGAAGGATAAATTCATCAGTTCCTCACAGTTGCTAAAGACATTGCTGAAGATAGAGCCTGGGAACCTTCATTCTCAGTGCAGGGCTCTTTTTACTCTAACAAGCTTCCTCCTGTCACAGCCTCCTTCCTGTCCTTTAAAACTGGACAGATGCTGCCTCTTGCCCCAAAGACCATGTTCCAGCAAGAAATGAGGGGACATTTGCAATCCTGTGACCTTCAACCCCATGGGTTACACATTTCTGTTTTTGCCCAGGAAGTCCTGGTCACGTCATGGCTACAAATATTTAGTGGAAAGAGACATTACCCATAAAAGTGTCATTGTGGAGGTGTGGAGGTCTGGGGACTTTTATAAGCCTGGGGCTGTGTGTCCTTAGGGCCTGTGTCCACCTTACCTGGGCTGAGCTTGTTGACAAGATGCTCTGCGAGCCTGTGCCCCTCAGCCAGCTGCACATGGAGGTCCTGACCCTGGGACTTGTCAGGGTCACCAGGAGTGAGGAGGGCCTTCAAATGCTGATACAGTGAGCAGGAGGCGTCTCTCGCTTCCCGTAACTTCTCCCGTAACTGGGTCAGCTCTTTTGCCTGAGAGTGAACCAGGTCTTTATACTGCCTACGGTGAGATAGCAGAGAACGTTTAATAACAGAAAATGATGAGTCATAAGTTCTAATACTGCAAGGGAGGGTTATGTGAGAATGTCCTCAAGGAGCCTTACAAGTAGAAGGTCACAACATGTTTGGGGAAATGCCTGTGTACAACATCTATATACATACATACATACATATATATATATATATATATATATGAATAAACACACCATATATATATATATATATATATATATATATATATATATATAGGTAGGTGTATATGTATATTTGCCAGGGAATGGTGGTTCACACCTATAATCCTAGCACTTTGGGAGTCTGAGGCAGGCACATTACCTGAGGTCAAGAGTTCAAACCCAGCCTTGCCAACATGGTGAAACCCTGTCTCTACAAAAAATACAAAATCTAGCCAGGCATGATGGTGCATGCCTGTCGTCCCAGCTACTCAGGAGGCTGTGACAGGGGAATCGCTTGAACCCTGGAAGCAGGGGTTGCAGTTAGCTGAGATTGTGTGACTACACTCCGGCTTCGGTGACAGAAATGAGATTCCATTAAAATATACATGTATACATATATATTGTACTTATATGCACAAAGGCTTCCCCTATATCAGAGAGAGCTCCTGTAAGATCCTCCATGATTTTAGATTCATTTATTTCTTCTGTAACCAAAAGTCATTGTCTTCTTAAGTCAGTTTCAAGGGGATGTCCTTTTAGCTCCTCACTTTGGCCATGGAAATTTCTATGTGAAAATTCACATAGTGCATCTTGCAGTGACTGGAAACAGGGCGGTGCAGAGAAATGTGGCCAGGTGCAGATGGGGTGAATTGGAAAGATGAAAGAAGAAGGGAATGGCAGGTCAAGAAGGCAACATTGATTGAACGAATGACTTGCTGCGGTAAGTCTGGAGGGGACTCTAAGAGCAAATGGGCGGTGACTACACACCATTTTGAGTGTATTAAATGCTGCTGGGTGGTTCATTTTCTTTAAATGAATTTTGGATACGCAGATTTCAACTCAACAATTAGGTGTCTTAAGAAGAGAAAACAAAGCTCAAGAACCAACTGCAACCCATAACTCGCTAAGATTACTGTTCTGTTCTATGAGTGTGTGTCTGAAATGTGCCTGCCATGGAAATGCCTGCCCATGTCCTGGCCCAGCTTAGCTCCTGCTTCTCCCAGCTGAACTGCTGCACTTCAGAGATCACACCCCTGCCCACCTTCCTGTCCCCACGGTGTCTGCTCACCTGAGCTCCTCAGCTTGCCTGACCTTCTCTGCCACCTTCTCCTCTATGAACTGCACTTCATCCCTCAGCACAGAGCCGATGATGTCTTTGTCCTCTTCACACTCTGGGAAGAGACAGTCATGCCTGCCTCAGTGGAAAGCTGGACAGGCTGAGGTGGCCACTGCCCGCAGAGCAGGTGGCAGTGTCTATCCCAAGGACAACAGCATCCCCAGTACAAGATTGTAGTGAGGGATTTTTTCAATATTTATTATCAACCTCCCAACTTGTTGTCATCTGACACTTTGCAACTTAGATATGGGGGAAAAAGAAACTCATTGACACATCAAGTAACTTGACAGAATCATTCACCTGGGATGAGGCAGAGTCAGAATTCATAGCCCCCAAGGTCTGGCTCTGAATCCTGGGACACTTTCCCAAGCCTTGCAGCCTCTCCTGTCAAACACTCTACTGGGGCATGAAGCAGTGATATCCTGTATGGTAGCAAAGGCCCTGAGGACTCTGGGACTCATGGAGTCCCTGGTGGAAAAGTTGATAAATATGTTGTGCCTCTGTTTTCCATTCTTAACACAATGAAGTGAAAATACCCATTTTGTTTTCCTAGAACTAAGGAAAGGATGAAATTAATTTTGATGAAGAGACTGTTCAGTATCTCAGAGAGAAGACAGGTGCTGATTCATCAGTTTCGTGATGTTGAATCTGTAGAACTTACTGTATTTGTTGAGTTGCTTGGCCAGAGAGTAGGCAGTAGCTTGACTTATAAGAAATTTCTCCTTGAGATCTTCAAACTGCTGTTGGCTCTCTTCCAGCTGGGAGCGCAATTCCTCCTTGGTTTCTAGGATTTTCATCTCTGCCCTGTCATGGGACAAATGAGCGGCAGTTACCATTATGCTGATGTTTGTGTCAGGAGAGTTGAAACAGGGACTGGGGAGAAGAAACCCAAGCACATGATGGATCAAAAACTAGTGAAATCAACTAGGTTTAGTCAGGACTGAGTGATGACAAAGCTGGAATTGTTGACTTACAGTTGCGAAGAACTTAATCACACCCCACAGCACTTTAGAGTCTTTAACAGGAGAAACATCCTTAGGATGCTCAGGAGTCCTAAACTGTCAGTCCGGAGGTGACTCTGACTAATAGTAAATGGGTGGTGATCACACACTATTTTGAGAGTATTAAATGCTGCTGGGTGGTTCATTTTCTTTTTATGAATTTTGGATACGCAGATTTCAACTCAACAATTAGTTGTTTTAAGAAGAGAAAACAAAGCTCAAGAAACAACTGCAACCCATAACTTGCTAAGATTACTGTTCTGTTTTCTGAGTGTGTGTGTGAAATATGCCTGCCATGTAAATGCCTGCACTTGTCCTGGCCCAGCTTAGCTCCTGCTTCTCCCAGCTGAACTGCTGCACCTCAGAGATCACATTCCTGCCCACCTGCCTGTCCCCACGGCATCTGCTCACCTGAGCTCCTCAGCTTACCTGAGCTTCTCTGCCAGCTTCTCCTCTATGAACTGCACTTCATCCCTCAGCACAGAGTCTATGATGTCTTTGTCCTCTTCACACTCTGAGAAGAGACAGTCAAGCCTGCCTCAGTGGAAGGCTGGACATACTGGTGTGGTCACTGCCTGCAGGGCAGGTGGCAGTGTCTATCCCAAGGACAAAACCATCCCCAGTACAAGATTGCAGTGATGGATTTTTTCATTTTTTATTATCAACCACCTAACTTGCTGACATCTGACACTCTCCAACTTAGAGATGGGGAAAAAGAAACTCATTGACACATCAAGTAACTTGACAGGATGATTCACCTGGGATGAGGCAGAGTCAGAATTCATAGCCTCCAAGGTCTGGCTCTGTATCCTGGGACACTGTCCCAAGTCTTGCAGCCTCTCCTGTCAAACACTCTACTGGGGCATGAAGTAGTGACATCTTGTATAGTAGGAAAGGCCCTTAAAACTGTGAGACTCATGGATTCCCCAGTACTTGGAATTTCAAACAAATATATGTCAAAGATTTAAAAAATCATTTCTGAATATTATTGCATAAAATATGAGGCATAAAACCCTGAGGTCATCATTGAAATATGACCAAATTCTTATAAAGTTTGAATTAACTTAGAAACAGTAGGATGAAGAACTAATAGATACTGTTTACTCTGTGCCAAGAATTATTCTAGGAGATTTAGAAAAAACACGTCCTCTAATTCAATGCAGCCATTTACAGGGGTAGGTATTGTTATAATACCCAATGAACAGATGAGGAAACTGAGGCACAGAGAAGATAGACCACATGGATGGAGCCCAGGAGACTGGCCCAGGCTCCCTGCTCTGCAAGTGGCACTGTTACCTCCCCAATGTCTTACATGCCGTCTTTCTTCCTCTTTACAGAAAGAGCCTGTGCCCCAGGAAGCAGGACTTCGCTCTCCCCAGGGTACTCCCTGCTCTTCATGCTGTTACTTATGGATGCCACCGTTACCATTGGGAGCAGTCTCCTCTTTAAGCTCCTTAAAGCAGGTACTCTGTACTGTTGCCACGTTTCCCCCGGGGTTCCCTGAAGAAAGGTTTGACTGTTGGGCCTCAAAGAAGCTTAAACGGAATGGCAGTTCATTAGCTCCAGGCATTTAGACCAACAGACTAGATGTTATTTGTCTGCAGGATCTTCTATGGTAGAGAGAGCATTCTCGTAAACATGATTGATCACCTTACAAAGAACAGCAAGTGGTTCTGTGCCTGTGTCAGAGGTCAGTAATCAGGATTTTAACTGTGGCCCCACCTCACATCGGATTGGTAACAGGGAAAAGTTACTAAATACGTTGTGCCTCTGTTTTCTATCCTTAACACAATGAAGTGAAAATTCCCATTTTGTTTTCCTAGAACTAAGGAAAGGATGAAATTAATTTTGAAGAAGAGACTGTTCAGTGTCTCAGAGAGAAGACAGGTTCTGATTCATCAGTTTTGTGATGGTGAATCTGTAGAACTTACTGTATCTGTTGAGTTGGTTGGCCAGAGAGAAGGCGGTAGCCCGACATATAAGAAATTTCTCCTTGAGGTCTTCAAACTGCTGTTGGCTCTCTTCCAGCTGGGAGAGAAATTTCTCTTTGGTTTCTAGGATTTTCATCTCTGCCCTGTCATTGGACAAATGTGCAGCAGTTACCACCATGCTGATGTTTGTGGCAGGAGAGTTCAAACAGGGACTGGGGAGAAGAAACCCAAGCACATGA